GTCTGAAGGCTCATACGGCGTTTTTCCTCAGCACGGCAGCACTCTCAACGGAGATTCATTTGGCGATGTTAGATCGGTTGCGCCAAAACTTCCGTAAATTTTGGCTTGATCAAAGGGCAGTGACGTGTGCCGTCTCGAGCTTTCAAATCCGGAGACAGTAACAAACGCAACCGCATATTTCACTCGTGCGATTGTTTGCGGAAGCTGGATCAAGAAACGCCGATTTGAGGGGCTGCCAAGGATTGAGATCTCACGACAGTGAGGCCTCGATGCACATGCAGGTGGAATGTTACTTTATAGTCGAAATTTTCGGTGATATCAAGCGAACTCGATATATCTGTCCAATTGAGGAGGAATGCGCCCTGAACGGTTGAAACGGTTCAAATTTGGATTCAGCGCCAGCACAAATCCATCACCGATTACTCGTTTGGTACTATCCCAAAATAAAATTTTTGCAAGTCATGGACTATCCCAAAATAAAATTTTTGCAAGCCATGGTATCAAGAATACTTCACTATGCTAATTCCCTGATTTTCAAGGGGAGGAAAACTGCCGAACTTTGGGTTGCCGCAGAATTTGGAAAACTGAATTCCCTGACAATTCCCCGATTTCCCTGACAAAATTAGGTGAAATTCCCGGACACTTGAAGATCTGATGGATGGTTGAGAAGACATAATTGATAATAGTTTTCAGGCAAAATTTGTTGTTCGAAACCTCAAACCCATTCTAGAGAGCAAATTAAGATGACTTAACAAATTTTCCCTCACATTTTCGTCATTTCCCCTGGCATTTCCCGGTTTTCCCTGACTTTTTAAAATTCCCTCACAAATCCCGGTTTTCCCTGACTGTGGCAACCCTGTTGACGTCATCCATTTAATGCGCAAATTTTCAAGGACTGAAAAATTCGCAGAAATAAAAATTGAAATACATTCAAAGACTTTTGAAGGCGATACGAACTCGGGAGTTTCATAAACGAGTGAATGAAGTTGATCGAGCGTCACGCTACTTGAACGTGCCGGCACGTCAAGTTCAATGACGTCACGCTAGCATGTCTGCTACTCACGCCACTCGCGGTGAAGTGAATGTGGGACAATTCTTGAAATCAGTTAACGACTAATAGTGTCTTTCTCGCCACGAGCTTAATGCCATCTTGAGTCCGGAGGCGCGGCTTTAACGCCGCGGCGCCGCACAGTGGATTAAGTCAATGGGTGAGGTCGGACATGCTTTAGAATCTTTCAAAGCGTATATCTTCATTAATATGCAATTTTGATGTTTTAAATGTAGTTCCATTGGTTTTCTCTTAAAATTGAAATTGTGATGAGATAATCGTAAGATTTTAAAATTGTTGTCAAAAATTGCATGCCCAATTGACTAGATCCACTGTGCGCTGCGCCGTGCTAAAGAAAAGCGCCATGAAGACGTCCGGACGTTACTAAATTTCTCCTGACCAACTACAAACTTTTTGAGAGAATTAGTGTTGTTTTCTTTACAGTTTTACTGAATATGAATTAAAATAGCAATTTTGTCGAGTACACTGAAAAAAAAGTAGTTAGCGTTGAGAACTAATTTGGTAAGTTCTCGTCAAGTAGAATCAAAATTAGGCTTCAGAACTAATTTATTGTACTGAAGCACCAATCAATTCGCTTCATACGCTGACTTGACTTTACTAGAGCGCGAACCAGAATTGGCAAACAGCACTAGCTGTAAAATTAGCGCTGTGGTAAGACAAATTCACTTTCGGGTCAAACTAATTCGCCCTCAACGCTAACTGCCACATTGTCCGTTACATTTATTTAGTTTCGAAAAAGTGACGTCGGTACAACAGCCTCAATCGCGTCAGCTCGTGAAAATCAATTAAAATGTGAAATTTCGGGCTCGTTTGACAATGTAAATACTCCCGGTATGATTTAAAGTGTCCTCTCTTTCTTGAAAACGTTCGAAAGCAACATAAATAAACCTGTTAAGGTTAGAAATCGTCTGTTCGATTCGAAACGTAAACAAGCATGATATTCGTAGGAGTCGTCAATCTTCTGTATTAAATTGCGATTAAAGCGTTCCGCGTTCAGTTTATATTGTACGAAAATCTGTGAACTTACTGCTTACTTCTATAGTTCGTGTTCTCCCGTAATTTCAAAAGAATATCTCAAGTGTTCGGACGAGATATGTTTATTCAGTGTGAACATTCGCTACCGTTTCATGAGTGAAGGTGTCTCTCTTTAAAGGATAATTCTGTCTACTTGCACATACCTATGGGATATTCCTTTCCTCTGCCGTTCATTTGGAACCGGTCAGTTTATTTTTACCTCTCGTCTTTTAAGAAATCTTCTTTTCCTGAAAGTATTGTCCAGTTATCATTCGTTAAGCCGTTTTCTCCTCTTTCAGTTTTGAGGTTAGGTTGACCCAACCCTACCGAATGCGAATTAGAGTAGCGGAATTAGTTTCCAGCACTAATAGTGGTTAGTGTACAGAAACCAAAAATCATGTGTGTCCAAATCACACAATTTGAGTTAGTGTATAGAAACCATTTTTAGTCCTCTGACGCTAACTCATTTTTTTCAGTGTATGTCTCAAAATTTGGGGGGCAAAAAATTCAACAATAATGGGGTATGCACCAAAACGTTTTACGAGACGAATTGATTCGTTAGAAGATAATTTATTTTTATACATATTGCTGGTTTGAGTGCGAAACCACGGACCTCCATTGCGGTGTTTCAAAATGTACGCTTCTATTTGATTATTTCCAGGAGAAAAGCCAACTTTATAAGTTGAAAATTTTTCAGAATATTCTGTTGATGGAGAAGAAAAATCCAGGAAGTTTTCAATGAATTACGTTGACACGCTTTTCAAGGAAACCATGCAGTATGACAGGAAGTCTGCAACGTCAAAAACGGAGATATGTGGTTTCGAACTTTAGCCATCAATATGGACTGAGATCTGCGGGAATCTCGTGAAGAAAGCCACAACCACATCCACAGCCAATTAAAATTAAACCAAACTATCGGTAGGATGTTTTCTATTGAGAAAATCGGAAAATTTTCCAGGTCAAGCGGAAAATCCACAAATGTGTTTGGTAGAAAATTTGCATACGTTTTTAATTGGATGACTGAATCATTAAGCGAAGCACGAACGACGATCCACTTTACGCAAAACAACCCAACAACACGATGTCTGATGAGCAGCATTTCTATCTCGTATAAAGCGAGCACAAAACCTTTTACAAGATTATTCTCGGAAAACTCGAACATACGCACTCAAATCTCTCGATTTTCGAGTGGATTGAAGCGTGATTTAAGTGGACTAGGATTATGATTAACACGCCTACGACACGATACTTGACCGGCCAATCGCGAAAAAAATGCACGACGCGACAGAAATGATAAGGGCGTCTTGACATTTTACGATCACCGCATGACAGACTAAAATGCTTGCGTATATCCTTATCGATAGTGAAATGTGGCGTAATGCCCAGAGAAATAAGTAAAATTACTACGATAGTTTTCGCGATCTATGGTGCCTAACTGCGACGATTTGCACGGAGCATAATTTATATCTGATTCAAACGGTGCTCTCTTTTTCGAATATTTCTCGCAACAGAATCCAAGTTGTTTCAAAGGGAATGGAGATGTTGCATTTTGAGGGATTTGCAATTTGACAATTGATTCGTAAGTAAAAGTTCGCGAGAAACACGATGGTGCCACTGGTTTTTTCTGAAATCATCTCCCAAGCTCAAAAAAAGCTCTCAAGATGAGGCCAAAATGGAGGGAATATCCCACCCTACCCTGAGAGTCGACCTCTACATCAAAACGAACCCTCCATGCAAAGATAGGGAACAAATACATTAGCGGGGTTGCCGTATTCTCAGTTTTAAAGTCCCCAAATAAAGTGGCAGCCCTGTCAATGTATTTGCTCCCTATATTTGCATGGAGAGTTTGTCTTGATGTAGAGGTGGACTCTCAGGATAGCGTGGGGTATCCCTTCCATTTTGGCCTCAACTCGAGAGCTTTTTTTAGGCTTGGGAGTTGATTTCAGAGAAAACCAGTGGCACCATCGTGTTTCTCGCGAACTTTTATATAAGAATCAACAGTCAAATCGCAAATTCCTCACACATGCAACATCTCCATTGCTCAAAGTTGAAAAAAGAGCTAATCAACCAGAAATAAGATTGATTGTGTACATTGCAAGATTTTCAAAGAGAGAACGCAAAAATTCATGGGGTAAAAAACTGACAGAGGGGTCCCTAAAGGGGATAGAGACAAATGTCATGTTTAATCCAAGTGAAGCGGTATCATTTTCACGTTTGACTGAATCGACAAGAGGAATCGGAATTCATCATAATATAAAAAAAGGTTTCATTTAAATAAGCCTCGATGGTAAAAGCCTTGCACTGACAGCGTATTCTGTCAAATTTGAGAGCATTTTATAAGGAGCATTACAGTGGCGAGGGGTGAATCGATTATCGACATTTCCCCATCTGAAGCTGTGGTAAAAAATCGATTATCAAGGTGTTCGACGCGAACACCCTGTTTATCGATCATTTTCCATGGGTTTAAATGGCAGGTGAATCGATGTATCGCAAAGCACGCTACGCCACTGGGGCATTGAAAGAGCAAGTGGCATGTGACATATTACATGCATATTAATGAGGGAAATCAGACTGCAAAGAGGAGGGAAGGAGTGACAGCTCATGGAATTCGACTTTAATTTTGGGACGGTCCGAGGGAATGCTAATGTTAACGATATTGCATGTGGTCCGTTCGCTTAAGACATGTGGACGTATTTCTGCCAAACGGAACTATGTGCATGAAGGCATGAGCCCTGAGATCCACAAGGATACGTGCATAACAGGGCTCACGTCGTAATGCACATAGTTCTGTTTGATAGAAATGCGTCCATTTTTTCTGTCTTGCTCTGCAAAATAAGCCCCAAGTTACATGCTTGGATGAACTTAATACAAGATTAGAGGAGCTAGACGTTGGGAATGATATGAACTAAGAACTTACCGGCCAGAGTATAGTCCATATCGAATCCATAGAATTTAATGTTTTCCAAATGCAAACTCCGATTGACAAAAATTCTGAAATCAAAGAGGAAAGAATCATTAAAAATATGAAGGACTCAAAAGCAAAAAAGTGATTATTGTCTAATGGTTAGTGATACAGACGGATGAAAGACGTATTTCAGCTCCGTTCCACGCGTTAGCATTTGCTTTAATACATAGAATGGACCACTAGACAAGGTACGAATTTCAGCATTCTGATACATGTTTCTTAGTTAAAATTTCACGTAGAATACGACGCGCACAACGGAAATTACCGAAATCAACTCCTTAGGAAGATATTTAATGATTCTTGATGCGTGAATTCAAACCACCCGCTCATGAAAACTCAATGCTCTACGTGATTCACATCGCGCGCTAAACGTTATCATGACAGCGTCTGCGATATAAAAATCCGGCAACCTCAATCTTGACGCTTTAGCTCAGCTGTAGCAAATTGCTTATAGTTTGAACAACACATGGTGAGAAATGAACATTACTCGATTGAGGAGCTTGTTGAAACCGTTGTAGTGCGTGATTTGACTCACGTAGAGCTTTGAGTTTCTTGTGAGCGGGTAGTTGAAATTCCTCTTAACCAATGTGAAATAAAAACTTTAATATCTTCGTTTGGAGTTTGTTTCATTAGATTTCGTTGCGCGAATCGTGCTCTACGTACAATTCTGGTTAGGAAACATGTATCAGAATGCTTAAATTCGTACCTTGTCTAGTGGTCCATTCAAGGCTTAAGAATTGGATCAAATTTAGCAAAAAGGAACCAGCTTGATGACAGTGTTTTCAAAATCGTGCAACTTCTTTCCTTTTAAAAATTCGATCCCTAAGCAACCACGTGATTCTTCAACTTTAAGGGCGTCTTTCTCTGGTCCACGAAAATATATCCCACCTCTTTCATCGACAATACAGGTTTGCCACAAAATTTGGAAAATGATATTCCCTGACATTTCTCTGACACATTTGAGTAAAATCCCCTGACACCAAAAGGACACAATTTGAAATAGTTTTCAGATTTTGTTGTTCTAAACGTCAAATGCGTATTCTAGAAAGCTGGTTAAGGTATGAATTAACAATTTTTCCTTGACACCTTCGTCATTTTCCCTACGGTGAAAAAATAGCTCTGGCCGTTGAAACCGTAATTACGGGCTTTATGGACATACACATACCATCCACGTTCCGGGCTCAGAGGCCGGAAGTTCCGGGTGTAGCACCTGGAACTTTCGGTCTCTGAGCTCTGCACGGACGGTATTTTTATTTAGCACATAACTTTTTTTCAGCGTGACATTTCTAGGTTTTTCCTGACTTTATAAAGTTCCCCGACATTTCCCGCACTGGAAAAAAAACACATTGGATCTAAAGTCCAGACTCTTGAGAACATTGACGAGAAAAAATACTCTTGATTCAATCGGATTTTTGCTTAAATCAAAACGAAATCCGCTTAAATTAAGAAGCTTGGTTCGTGATTAATTTAAGCTAGATTCTGATTGAATCAAGAGTACTTTTTCTTGTCGATGTTTTTAAGAGTCTGGACTCTAGATCCAATGTGTTTTTTTTTCCAGTGCGTAATTCCCCGATCGTGACAACCCTGAATACACCCGGAATTCTTCACTTGCCTTGTGTGCGAGAACCTGGACCTGGGCATTTTCGGGCGCGGAAAAATCCTGCGAGTTTTTCGATTTGATATCGCGGCGCGGCGACTTTAACATCGAAACCTAATTTCCGCAGTCGAGAATACGGCGATGGATGGATCCGGCACGGCACTTAAACTTCCACTGAAGCCTCTCGATTTCAGTCGCCGCTGTCGGTTCCGTCCCAGATTTGAGTGGACACTTATCGGCGCGAATACCCGCACTCTCGCGAGAAGCGCGCCACCTTCACGGAAAAATTACTCGGCGAAACGCTCGTGAGTATCCGATGCAACGAGACAATCAATGGAATATCTTGGTTTTATGGACAGAGCGACCCTGATCCGAGAACCATTGAGGGGGGGATTGGCGCCACGTAGCGCTGCTGGGTTTATCTCGTTTTTATTTGACTTGGAGTTAAGAAGGATTCGTTCAGAAATTTCTGATCAATGACCGATTTTCCACTCAAAAAACAAGTATGGGAAGAGTGACTTACCGGCCGAGTTATGGATCATGGAGCCATGAAATATAGTTCGTGGAGCCATGCTTATAGGTTCACGACCAATAAAGTATGGCTCAGAAAACCATACTGTAGATGGTAAGTCACTTTGGTTACAAATTATGGATCTCCGAGCCATTTTTTATTGGACGCAGAGTCATACCCCTTTTTAATACAATGGTATTTACCTGATTAATCCAGAAGACATCGAATTTCCCGATGTTTTCCGCTTTTTACTGATGGAAGACTTGGAAATTGCTCGAAGCGTCCAGAAATTTCTGATCAATGACCGATTTTCCTGGTATTTTCCTGGTATTTTCCTGATTAACCCAGAGGAAATCGAATTTCCTGATATTTTCCGCTTTTTACTAATGGAAGACTTGGAAATTGCTCGAAGCGTCCAGAAATTTCTGATCAATGACCGATTTTCCTGGTATTTTCCTGATTAACCCAGAGGAAATCGAATTTCCTGATATTTTCCGCTTTTTACTAATGGTAGACTTGGAAAATGCTCGAGGCGTTCAGAAATTTCTGATCAATGACCGATTTTCCTGGTATTTTCCTGATTAATTCAGAGGTAATCGAATTTCTTGATATTTTTCGCTTTTTACTAATGGTAGACTTGGAAAATGCTCGAAGCGTTCAGAAATTTCTGATCAATGACCGACTGTCCTGATATTTTCCTGATTAATCCTAAAGACATGGAATTTCCTGATATTTTCCGCTTTTTACTAATGATAGACACCCTGTTTAAAGGTGCATGTGTTCGTTTTTCTGTCAAATTATCCACGAAAAGTAAAGGGTTTTCAGTCAGGATTCTCCAGAAAAATTCCCAGACTCATCGTTAGATCTTTAGGTCAGGCACCTAGAGGCGCCAAGGGATAACATCCTAGAACATTCCTCGATCTTGGAAGGCATCCCATCGGAAAAACGATGACGAGAGATTCGAGTAGCGGCATTGGCGGACCCAGCAATTTGGCAACATTGTATTTCCTCCATTTAAACCTATGGAAATGTATCGATTCTTGGAGGGGCCAGGTGCTCCGACAAGGATCGATTATTTAGCATGGGTTTGAATGGAGGAAATCCGGTGTTGCCAAAATGCTGGATCCGCCTCTGAGTAGCGGTGATCGCGACCGATAGCGCCAGGATATCGACATTACCGGCGGCGTTACGCGTTAACGCGACCCGGTGAATTTTTATCGGAGAATTACGTGAAAATTGCGAACGCTCGACCGATAAAGCTCGACGGAAAAAAACTGTTGTCGAGTCGAGTGAAACTCGCTCGGAGGTCACCGGCATCGACGACGGGACCCGCGACGCACAATGGGTCGAGTCGAGGAGAGGTCGGACAAAGTTTGGAAACTTCAAACGCCTATAACTCCGAAACTTTGCGGTTCTCGAAATGGTTTCGTTGGTTTCCTCGTAAAATTTTCTTCCAAAAACATCCTTAGAAATTTAAAATTTGACGAATTATAGGATCAAAATTGAATCAGTGAGTTCGAAAACACACCAACTCGGGTTTTTTCGATTTTCACTTTTTTACAGTTTAGTAACACTTATGGATAGAAGCATCTGCACGCAAAAGGAAATTTCGAAATTGCAATCGGAAGTGCTCGAAACAGCGACGGGAAAAGGGAAGAATCGAAGGAATTCAATGGAAATACTAATTTTTGGCCATTTCAAGGGAAACGAGTGACCATCCGATTTTGCGGTTTTCTTTTTTCGGTTAAGTATAAACCTGGTAGTAACAAGTCATATAAATATTCAAGCGTTATTCAGGTCGAAAAATATAAATTTTTCAGGGCAGACTATGAAAAATCAGCATCTGAAAGTCGGTGAGAACGAAAACACACCAACTCGGAAATTTTTAAACGCTTAATACTCTGTCATCAAACATGGTGTATTTCAACTACATATTTCAACTTGGTGCTTTACAAAGTCTCTAAGTACTTGTCCTTTGGCACCAAACAGGTTTTTCTTAAACTAACTTCTTCACCCGATGCGCAGTTTTAGGTGTTTCCTGAACAATTTTTTTTTCCGAGTTGGTGTGTTTTCGAACTCACTGATTCAATTTGCAGTTTTAGTTAAAGATTTCATGCCCGACCTTCCTGATTGACTCGCCCACCGCGCGACGACCTCGAATGAATTGGAACGATTCCTGTGTTTGCCCGCAATTATTTGTCGCTTGCTTTTCTCGAATACCGTCAAAATATTATTATGATCGTATTGTTTTTCGCGGAGGAGTCATTGAGACGTGATCCACCGAAATGGAACGCCGATGCAGATAAGAGGGTAGAACACGAATGAGAGCAGCCTAGAATCCACAAAGCTGCGAAGAGAAAAATGTTCACTTATGAATGTATTAGGGTTTGACAGATGCTGAACCCATAGACAAAGGGACATCCTCTGGTGTCTTGACGATAAAGAGGATTTCTATTTCAGGACCCGAATTTTGTTGGCATAATGGGCCAGTTACGCTGGTCACAGAATCGTGTTTTGGTGCTTATAGATTGATTCTTACAGATCCTAAAAATAATTGGACGTATTTCTATCAAACGGAACTAAGCGCCATCATAGGGGGAGGAAGGGAGAGGGGGGCTTGGATTGGCGGGTGTTGCGGAACGCGGTGCTCGTTCCATCCTGCTTTTCCTGCCAATGCTTTTCCATGGCGCTTAGTTCCGTTTGACAGAACGCGCTATCCGGGATTCTAAAATCCTCAAAAGGAACTCAAATTTGCGCTTAGTTCCGTTTGACAGAAATACGTCCGATTAGATCCGTCCAAACAGCAAATTTTTATGTTCAGTATTATTCGAGATATCGTGCTATGAAAAAGTCGGATTATGACGTCATCCACCTCGGTAGTGACACCCTTGTTTTCTCCACCTTGCTTTCGTCCGAGT